TGCTCACTGCTCCAAACAAAGGGTACTCCCTTCCTGGAAATTGCTCGTAGAGGCTCGGCGACAGTTGCAAGATTAGGAATAAATCTTGCACTAAAGCCAACCATACCAAGGAAGCTTCTCACTTCCGTTGGAGTAGATGGGCGGTTTGCCTCCAGCACTGCACGTACCTTCTCTTCTGTTGGGCCGACGCCATACTTTGACACTAACAGCCCCATAAAGACTACCCTGTCCATTCTGAATTGGCATTTTTCAAGGTTGAGGGTGAGGTTCTTCTCTGCTAATCTCTGTATCAATCTATATAGATTCCTGTCATGCTCCTCATTGTTCTCACCATGTACTATCAGGTCATCTGCAATATTCTGGACACCACCAATGTCTGAGACCACTTGTCTGATTATCTGCTGATATTTCTCAGGGGCGGAGTTTACTCCAAAACTTAGTCGCTTGTACCTGAACAACCCCTCATGTGTGGCAAACGTGGTTATGTCTCTTGATTCCTCATCCAACTCGATCTGATGAAATCCTAGGCGAAGATCTAATTTTGAAAACACTCTACCACCGTTAAGATTTTCCAACACTTCGTCAACAGTTGGGATGGGTATCCGCTCCCGGATAATAGCCTGATTTGCTTTACGCATGTCCACACAAAGCCTGATATCCCCCGAAGCTTTGGGCGCAACTACTACTGGACTCACCCACGAGGTCGGCCCATCTACCCGTTCAACTATGTCCATAGCAATGAGTTCTTCCACCTTTGCAGTTACTCTCTCTCGCAGTGCAAATGGAACACGCCGTGGCTTTTGAGCAATCGGTGTCACCTCCGGGTCAACATGTAATTTCAACTTGTAGTCCTTCAGCTTGCCCACACCATCAAAAACCTTTGGATGCTTAGCCTGAAGAATTGTGGCGAGATCCTCCCCATCCACATTACACGCACCCTCAACATCTGCACCCAGCCCAATCCGAAGTAAACCCAAAGCCTTTGAAGTCGCATGACCCAACAGACACCTCCCTTTCTCAATCACCACAAATTGTGAATTCACTGTCGTACCACCCACCGAAATCTCAGCTGAAAAATGACCAATCACCGCCAGTTTTCCCCCACCATATGCATAAAGCCGCTTATGACACTCCTCCATCTCTGCATTAAGGCCTCGCGCCTTAAGTTCACGGTACTCGTCTAGCCCCATAAGATTGCTCACTGAACCGGAGTCAATGAGTACCTGTGTAGTAACACCACTGACACTAACTTCTAACACAGGTTCTTTACAACTAGCTCCCGATTCTCAGACACGGTGAATGCAAAAGCACAGTCCTCCTCATTATCAGATGCTTCTTGATCCCCCACAAAATTTGCATTGTGACGTGAACGTCCACCAGAAACTCTCTCTCGCTCACTTGTTTTATCTCTCGCTTTATAACCATCACCCTCTCTCCGACAACATAAAGCGAAATGACCATACCTTGCACACTTGCTACATTTTCTTCCTTTTGCTGGACAGTTGCTATCCCTGGCTAAATGACCTTCTCTCCCACAATTGTAGCACTTCCTACCCTTCTCGCCCTGCCGATCTTGTCTTCCCCTAACTGCATTGACATCGTCGCCTTCTACTTGCCGTAGGCTTGTTGACATGTTGGTCGCTTGTCTGCCAGCTGCTTCCCAAGCACGAGCTTTATTCAGGGCTTCTTCCAGCTTAATATTTCTATGCTCCAACAGCTTCCTTTTCAACTCGAAATTCGTCAGCTTCTCAATCAACTGGTCCCGCAAATGGTCGTTCAAACCCGCCCCGAAATCACAATGTCGTGCTTGTTTTCGCAACCGAACTATGAATAGGTCAGCGGTCTCCCCCTTCCCTTTGTGTAAGTTGACGAAAAACATGTCGCTCGTAGGGAATGTTCTCCTCGACTCGAAAGTAAGAATCCAATTTGCGAATAGCGATTTTGTAAACATTGTCACCACTCTCCGGAATAGGACCAGGATCTTGTAAATCTTCAAAGATATCCTGTACATCCATACCAGCAAAATGTAAGAGTAATGAGGTCTTCTTACGAACATTATCGATGCCCTTTCCTTCGGCAAAGTATTCAAACGCACGCTTCCATTTACGCCATCGCTCCGCCACTTGTGAAGCAGGACCGGTCAAATCCAACGGCGGTAAGGCCTTTTCACTCATTGGAACCATCCTCGTCGCCAATGTAGTATTGCTAATGCGCCACCGAGGCTAATAGTCTTGTCAAACGCGAGCACTACTTCGTTCGCCCGCTACACTACAGAAACACTACTTCCACTAGTCACATGACCCCAGACTTCTCGCGCAGGGGAAGTCCCGGATGTACACTACAGTCATTCATTGTTAAAGCTTGATTGAGATGCATGTAGCGGTGTGAGTTATACTGGATGTTGTTCTCCTAGAATTTGATGTGAAGCAACACAATATAGTTTTGTTGGAATGAAGAGTGATTTTCGGTGTTCACCAGCAAGGAAGTTGTGGGTGTGTTGACTTGATTTTAACCCTTTGATGACGCTTTGGTCGTTCTCGTCCTCTATGTAATTTATCTACTACTCCTTGGAGATTAAATTTATTCTTTTCCTGGAAAAGTAGCCAGCGAGAATTTTAAGCGAAAGAAAGACAAAAAATCGAGCAATGAAACTAGACAAGAAAATAAGAGAGCCAAAAAGGTAAAAAGGGATTGAGAAAGAAAAATCGAAATAGATGCACCAAAAAAAGAAAGAAAAAAAAGGAAAGAGAGAAAGAAATAATAATAATGGTTTAAAATGAAGATAAATTGCATTCTCTGCCCCTGCAGAGAGGAAAATTGCAGCATTGTTTTCAGGTCAGAGGAAAGGAGTGGGAGAATTCCAAATTTTGTAAAATCGTGGAGGGCAAGCACGGAGACATCGGGGTTTAACACCTTTCCCAGCCCATAAATATATAGTCGCAGCCGCTCGGGCCGGAGTCACTGCACGTCCTCGTGCGTCTCGTGCGCTCCTTTCGCTTTGCTAAAAGGGAACTGAAACGACTGCTACGCAGGGAGGAGCCGCCGAAGTTTTATTAGCCGGTCAGGAGATCACCCTCTTGGGGACTGGGAAAGCGTTAACACATAACGTCGAAAAAACGGAGTTGGACAAAAATATGACTACCAAAAAATACAATTTCTATCGATTGATTCTACGTTTTTATCGGCAATGCAGTTGTCCCTTTCGTAAACAGTCGCTTAAATTTTTGATGCCCATTCTGTCTTTCCCAACTGTTACATCAATAACAGGTGGCTTTATCCCTTTCCTTAAATTTAACGAAAATTCGACTTGGGCTTTAACGTCGTTTTTTCTAACACTATATATCCAAAAACGTATTATTTGCCTTATTGTAACTTAATCCATGGAATATATTACATCCCCATAGGACTAAAGGCTTGGTGACATCGACGGTTGAAAAATGACACACTGTTTGCGGAGGGGAAATAGTCCACGGCGACCCTCATCTTTCGTAAAATTAGTTCAGTGATTTCGAGGAATATACTTTCTTACTATAAATCGTAGACTTATTTTGGCATGCGCCTCATATCTTATACGCTAGATTTTTTACGAAGGAGGTAGGGTAGTAGTCTACTTTTCGCGCAAAAAAACATATCGCGATAAACTTAAGCATGTGCCCGCGGACTACCTATTTTAAAAAGAAACGTGAAAAATCGACGTTGTGAGTTTAAGCCCCTATGAAACATAACATTATGACTGCCTTCTCCTCAGACGCTTCTTATTTCGTATAGAGGCGAGCGCGAAACGCGAGTGAGAAGTTAAAAGGCGCAATGGACCTTGGGAAAGAGAAAGAAGAGAGGCGAAGTTTTCTCCGTCCCGCCTTCCTTTGCGCGTAAGTTTCATGGAGGGAGAGACGCCTGGATACGAGGCAGGCACTATGAAGTTTCACGGAAGTTGTGCAAGAAAATGCAAGAACATTAAAATACAATCTCGTTCCCAGGGCTTCTTCAAAATGACAAAATAACTACTTTTAATTACATGACGACATGCAAGTTATAACTAGAAACACGTACAGTCGCAATAAGCCTCGCGAAACTCGGTTTGGTAACGGCACTCAAGTTAAGCCCTGTCGTTCGGGGTTAAGAACTGGATGGGTGACCAACCGCGAATATCGTCTTAAAGGTCCATACGTTGTTCTTTCTTTTCTTCTTCTTCTTTTTTGCTTATTACGAGGTGTTATTGTTAACAGTGTATTGATAAGCAGATTTAGCATTATTTCGGCGCCCGGAGATAGAAAAAGACAAAAACAAAGAACAAATCTGGCCCGGCGCAGTTCGCCTGAAAATAATTATAGTTCGGGCCGTAATACAGAGCTGAAACATTGCAGACTTTGATCTACATATATCGGCGGGGATGGGTTTTCGACAGTGAACGATCATAATGCCTCTGATTCCAATCTCCTGTTCCTCTGTCTCTTGCTGTGCTAAGCGATGTTCCTTCTGCTCCGCGGTTTCTTGTTGACGTCTCCTCCTTGAGTCCTTCGTTGTTCACGCTGAATTTGAAGTCGGCGTTCTCGCTCCAGAGGAGTTTCGGTGGAAAATCTTCCTGGGCGAGGATTTGGAGCTCTATGGAGCCACTTGTTGTGCTTGTGTGTCATTTGCATGGGAAATTGTTCGTGATTCACCGACGGTAAACTTTGATTCACAGGCGATGACTTGGTCATAGGCGGCAAAGTCTATGTTGCCTGGAAACGCAAAATGCTCGATGACGTCATTGGCGGATACCAAGACCACGCGCGGTTAGCAGACTGCGCACGCGCTTCGCGCGCGACAAGATTATAAAGTCGCTACGCCCGGCGCTCCGCGCCGAACTTTGCTCGGAATAAAAATAACTAATAATAATAATAATAACAATTAAAAATTTATAACACGCCTTTTCCATTAGGCTCGATTTCCACCGTCTCCCGGGTCCGGTCTTGATCCTCCCCGAAGAGTTAATCCTTTGTGTTCCTTTAACTCTTGAACTAAGGTCTTAAATGTTTGAGCAGGATCAGGGGTGATAACTTGAAATCTCTGTTTGGGCTATCCATTATGAGGGTTGGGCTTTTCATCTCAAGAGACCGCATGATCTTGAGTCTTGTTGACGTAGTTGCTGTAGCAGTCAGTGCAATCAGGGGCACTTTGCCGACAATTGAGCGGATCTCATTGATCCGGCTGAACCATTTTCGAAAAGCCATTTCTCCTTTCTTCACTGCATAACCCCTGAAATGGAAACATACAATAATGTTAAGTTAACTGGGGCGTAACCTGGTTTTTCCAGTTAGGTACGCACAGGAAGGAGTAGTGAAACAATCGCTGAGCGGTATGCTCTCAGAAAATTTTTTTATTTTTAGGCCTCTGGAAATGCCATTTCCCATGTTTTTCAGGGGGGAATAAGTAAGTCAATTAAAGACATAAATACAATGAAATATATATTTTGATTTTTGAGGTACACCCCTGGTTAAGTTAAATTTGTGGAACAGTATTTACAGTATGTTCCACTTCAACTTAGTGGTATTCTCCATTTCCTTTGCCTCCTTTTCCTAGATATTCATAATCTCGAACATTTAAAATTAGAGGACACAGGAACGTAGGAATATTCTTAGGCACAACATTATTCTCAGCTGTAATTTTCATCAACAACACATGCTACATGTACATGCCAGACAAAGAACTGAAGACTAATTAAATATAACTAGGATTACATATATGTCTAAGAAAGGAAGTATCTCATAAAATAAAAAAGTCATGTTGGACTTCTTGTAATAATATGAAATTAAGTGAGAGAGGAAATTGGACCTAGCACCGCATCTGATTGTCATATACCACATGTACGTCTCAAACATCTTCATTAAAGAAATACAGCACAGCTACATTATCTCATCCTACTTTTAAATTGAATCATATAATACAAATCGATTAGATGTAAGAGTGTATGCTTCATCTAGATATTCCAAGGTTTACAATCAGAATTTGTGCACATGTTATTATGAAGAATAGCTTCGCTTCAATTTGATAAAGTATTTAAGCGTACAATGTACAATGCAAAAGGACGAGAGTACAGAGGAAAACGCGAAAGGGTGAATAGACTTACCAGTGAGAAATGCAGTGAGCTTCATCAACTGCAACCAAACACAACCTCTTTTTGTAGGGATCGTTGCTGAGCATTGTCCGCCATCTTTTGGTAGACAAAAATGCCTCGGGTGAGCCATACACGATTTGGCATTCCCAGCGTTCGACGAGTTGCTTGGCCTCTTCGCTTTCCTGTTCGTCCCCTATAAACTCGGCCTTGATTCCCACAGACTTAAGGTAACGCCCTTGGTCTTGCATAAGAGATGACAGGGGAGAAATCACAAGTGCGATCGACTTTGCATTCGTCAAAGGTCTTACTGTGTCGAAGACGATCGGTGCGGACTGAAAAATTAATGACTTTCCAGACCCCGTTGGCTGAATAACGAACACATCTTGACCTTTAACTACGTTTTGCAATGCCTCTCGCTGAGAATCTTTTAAATTTTGAAGTTTAAAGCACTCCAAAACTCGCTCAAAAGCCAAATTCATCTTATCGACACTAGCAGCTAAATACAGGAATTGCACCGACCTGTGATTGGAAGATAAAAATAGTATGTCAGTGGCGATGACGTGACAATTCGTTACGTTAGCCGTTTCAAGAGTAATGGTTTTTACACGAAAAAGACAGTCCACAGGAAAATACAATAAAATATTAAATATTTCTCAAAGACAAACGGTGCAGTATTCTTTTGAAGTCGGCTGACTAGCTCGCTAAGAGTCAATGTCCTATCGAAGTTGAAGTTCAACTGTCGCAAATCGGATAACTTCACTGAGTGATTCTGAGATGAAACCTTTTGTCTGCATCCACATTGATCTTAGATTTTACCACTTACATATTGAAGAAAAGCCATAAACAGAGCTTCAATGTCCACGTACACCCGACTGAACCTCGGTGCGATTCCTGCAGATACCGCTGTTCATACTAAATGCAGGAATTGCACCGGACGCGTTCTCGTCCCCAGAGTCACTCTAAGTTGTAACAAAAGAGCACGTGACCAAGAAAGACAACAACAACAACAACAACATAAGCTTTATTTGCATGACTATAATTATGTAGTTACAGTATTGCAAAAGCTTTAATATAAAAAAAAACAAACAAACAAACAAATCATAACAATGATAATGCAATGACGGGCTCTGGGAACGAGAATACACCGGACGCTCATTGGTCGAATGCGCAACTTGGCATAAATTAAATAGCCGCGGGAAACTTTAATTGATTTTCTCGCGTTTTGATTTTCGCTTGATAGGACAAGACTTAGGCCACTGGAAATAACACATCACTTGTATTCGAAGTTAAATTATACTGAAGCAGGGGTTATAGGATCCTGACTAAAGGTCATCTAAACCTCGGGCTGATTGTTCTTTGCCTTTTTTTCTTTTACTGCTTGACTTTACAAGTGTAACATGCTCTCCTTGGTGAGTATATCGAATCTGAAATACCTCAGCAATGTAAAAATAATGGTCACCTAAACAGCCTGGTTAAATCCCATCATGTCCTTTGGAAGAAACAAAAATCCCCTTTTCAGCAAACCGAATAATCATTGCGTTTCAGCACGTAGCTGCGAGGACCATTTGACCTGCCACAGGGGGTGGGTGGGTGGGGTTGAGTTTTCGCAGTTTTCTGTTTTGTTAGTTCAATAACGACACAGCAGTTCAATAAGTAGACAACAGATCAATAACCACACCAGTGGTTCAATGACTACACATCAGTTCATTGAGCGTAAACTACATGCAGCTGCGGGAAGAATAGCCACAAATACGTTAGTTATTTTTTAATAAGAATGCATAGCATTAAGTAAGTGGTAAATACTCATTTAGCTATGGTACGAGAACTAAATAGATAAATAGCTATGTTACACTGTTATTAAGTACTAGTGAGCTCACTAATATAGACGGGAACATAGACTGATGTTATTTAAAATTTTAGTCCCCTCAGAAGGTCTGTCATTCTCATCAGGGGCACAGTGAACAGACCTGGAAAGAGTCAGCGCCGAAAGGGTGAAGCCAAATTGGTCCGGAGAAAACTTCAACTAAATAACCCGACAACGCGCGCGTTAATAAAGCAGAAAAAATACAGTTAACCGTGGATGAAATCAATCTTGTTTTTGACTCTCTTTCCGCACGTTTCAAACCGTGGTACCACAGCTGGCCCTACGTGCTTGAGTTGACTACCATCAATCTATGTTTAAAATAGTTATTTTACCGTACAAGTCCTGAACTTTCAACTTTCTTGGTTGTTTCAAACTTGAAAGGCAGCTGCTCGCTTCCTGACCATATTTCAAAAATCTGCTTTCGATATGATAATGTCTGTGCAAATATGAGAGATCATAACAATTGCAGGCGATGCCTCACCAAGGTACCAACAATTTTCTTTCCTAAACGAATTAGAAATAAAGTTTCAAATGCGTCTAACTCACCGCAACGAATAAAAACAACTGGTAGGATGACTGCACTTTGTTTTCTTCACTCGATGGCTTACATCATTTCATATCACGCGCAATCTCTTCAAAAAGTTAACCGGCAACCGCCGTGAACTTTCGCGCGCAACTTGGAGGAGTTACGTCACAGTAATCCTAGTGTCCAAGTGAGGCCTTTTTCTCACTAGTTCGGTTTTCTTATTCCAAAGAAGATATAGAATTAAATTACATAAAGTTTATGTCTGTAAAAAATGTACAGCATTTTTTTTTTTATTAACCATTTCCATTATGGGCTAAGCCAAAAAATACATAAATAAATAAATGTGATGAAGGTGACATACAAACACACAAACAATTATTTAAATAACAATAATAATGAGTTATGACGGGGTTTTACAACCATGATACCCCGCCCATAAACATCCCTATCTGATTTTACAAGCAACCAAAGGATGCCTGTCGCACGAGTGCAATGACCCTCTACAGCCGTGAACAAGCTGACAGGTCTGGCGCACAGCGGGCAGTTTAAAGGAAAGACATGGTTGCCATATACCAGAATAGCCCAGTATATGGATTCAATAGCTCAGTTTTCTGTTTTGTTAGTTCAATAACGACACAGCAGTTCAATAAGTAGACAACAGATCAATAACCACACCAGTGGTTCAACGACTACATCAGTTCATTGAGCGTAAACTACATGCAGCTGCGGGAAGAATAGCCACAAATACGTTAGTTATTTTTTAATAAGAATGCATAGCATTAAGTAAGTGGTAAATACTCATTTAGCTATGGTACGAGAACTAAATAGATAAATAGCTATGTTACACTGTTATTAAGTACTAGTGAGCTCACTAATATAGACGGGAACATAGACTGATGTTATTTAAAATTTTAGTCCCCTCAGAAGGTCTGTCATTCTCATCAGGGGCACAGTGAACAGACCTGGAAAGACAGTCAGCGCCGAAAGGGTGAAATTTTTTTCTGCTTTATTAACGCGCGCGTTGTCGGGTTATTTAGTTGAAGTTTTCTCCGGACCAATTTGGCTTCACCCTTTCGGCGCTGACTCTCTTTCCAGGTCTGTTCACTGTGCCCCTGATGAGAATGACAGACCTTCTGAGGGGACTAAAATTTTAAATAACATCAGTCTATGTTCCCGTCTATATTAGTGAGCTCACTAGTACTTAATAACAGTGTAACATAGCTATTTATCTATTTAGTTCTCGTACCATAGCTAAATGAGTATTTACCACTTACTTAATGCTATGCATTCTTATTAAAAAATAACTAACGTATTTGTGGCTATTCTTCCCGCAGCTGCATGTAGTTTACGCTCAATGAACTGAGGTGTAGTCATTGAACCACTGGTGTGGTTATTGATCTGTTGTCTACTTATTGAACTGCTGTGTCGTTATTGAACTAACAAAACAGAAAACTGAGCTATTGAATCCATATACTGGGCTATTCTGGTATATGTCAACCATGTCTTTCCCTTAAACTGCCCACTGTGCGCCAGACCTGTCAGCTTGTTCACGGCTGTAGAGGGTCATTGCACTCGTGCGACAGGCATCCTTTTGGTTGCTTGTAAAATCAGATAGGGATGTTTATGGGCGGGGTATCATGGTTGTAAAACCCCGTCATAACTCATTATTATTGTTATTTTAATAATTGTTTGTGTGTTTGTATGTCACCTTCATCACATTTATTTATTTATGTATTTTTTGGCTTAGCCCATAATGGAAATGGTTAACTAAAAAAATGCTGTACATTTTTTACAGACATAAACTTTATGTAATTTAATTCTATATCTTCTTTGGAATAAGAAAACCGAACTAGTGAGAAAAAGGCCTCACTTGGACACTAGGATTACTGTGACGTAACTCCTCCAAGTTGCGCGCGAAAGTTCACGGCGGTTGCCGGATAACTTTTGAAGAGATTGCGCGTGATATGAAATGATGTAAGCCATCGAGTGAAGAAAACAAAGTGCAGTCATCCTACCAGTTGTTTTTATTCAAGCTGCGGTGAGTTAGACGCATTTGAAACTTTATTTCTAATTCGTTTAGGAAAGAAAATTGTTGGTACCTTGGTAAGGCATCGCCTGCAATTGTTATGATCTCTCATATTTGCACAGACATTATCATATCGAAAGCAGATTTTTGAAATATGGTCAGGAAGCGAGCAGCTGCCTTTCAAGTTTGAAACAACCAAGAAAGTTGAAAGTTCAGGACTTGTACGGTAAAAATAACTATTTTAAACATAGATTGATGGTAGTCAACTCAAGCACGTAGGGCCAGCTGTGGTGCCACGGTTTGAAACGTGCGGAAAGAGAGTCAAAAAACAAGATTGATTTCATCCACGGTTAACTGTATTTTTTTCTGCTTTATTAACGCGCGCGTTGTCGGGTTATTTAGTTGAAGTTTTCTCCGGACCAATTTGGCTTCACCCTTTCGGCGCTGACTCTCTTTCCAGGTCTGTTCACTGTGCCCCTGATGAGAATGACAGACCTTCTGAGGGGACTAAAATTTTAAATAACATCAGTCTATGTTCCCGTCTATATTAGTGAGCTCACTAGTACTTAATAACAGTGTAACATAGCTATTTATCTATTTAGTTCTCGTACCATAGCTAAATGAGTATTTACCACTTACTTAATGCTATGCATTCTTATTAAAAAATAACTAACGTATTTGTGGCTATTCTTCCCGCAGCTGCAAGTAGTTTACGCTCAATGAACTGATGTGTAGTCATTGAACCACTGGTGTGGTTATTGATCTGTTGTCTACTTATTGAACTGCTGTGTCGTTATTGAACTAACAAAACAGAAAACTGAGCTATTGAATCCATATACTGGGCTATTCTGGTATATGGCAACCATGTCTTTCCCTTAAACTGCCCGCTGTGCGCCAGACCTGTCAGCTTGTTCACGGCTGTAGAGGGTCATTGCACTCGTGCGACAGGCATCCTTTTGGTTGCTTGTAAAATCAGATAGGGATGTTTATGGGCGGGGTATCATGGTTGTAAAACCCCGTCATAACTCATTATTATTGTTATTTAAATAATTGTTTGTGTGTT